TATATATATATATATATATATGGGTTTATGAAGTTTAATATACTTAAATGCATGTTTGGATTCTTGTTATACATTTATGTTTTAATAATTTTTCAAGTACTAAAAATAATAAATAGTTATTTCTAGGCATGACAATCAAATTCATTCTCATATATATTTGTTCGAACCCACCCTAATTTAGATGAAAAAATAATCTGTGTTTGTGGATGAAAATTCAAACAAGCACTGAGCCGAAAGTAATGATACTTGTAGTCCATCCACGTACAAATCTTGAGTGCTCCGAAGAATAATAGCATGCAAAGCCACTAGCTATGGGACCAGCTCACCATGGCAATGTCAATTACTAAAGGAATAAAATATAAAGTGAAATAAAATATGTAGTTGAATAAAGCATAAATTATTGAACAAAGGTAAAAATGAAACAAAAAGATATATTGGTCCATAAAAGACAAATTTTGAGAACGGAATAATAAATTGGAGTGATTAGATTCAAATACATAAAAATAGAGAGACAAAATACAAGAGCTCTATATACATATTTATATTGAAAAATTCTAGATCCTCCAAAATTATCCTCCGAAATATATTCCGAACCTTAAAAAAAAAAGTTTTAACTATAAAATAATAAATAAAATAATTATTATATATTAAATTTATTAAAAAATATTAATATTTTAAGATTCAAACGCTGTTTCGGTTAAAGCATTTCTCATTTATATTTTTGCCAAAATTAGAAGGTGCATTTGTTCTCCCTCAGTACTACATGGTTCCACCACAGGATACATGTCCCTTTTTTTGACCCGACCCATGCGTACACCACACTTGGAGTCGACATCACAAGAATTGCCTAAAAAAACCAGAAAAATAAGTTATGGGGTCCTAATTGTATTAAATTATTAGTTATATAATTATACGTTAAGGATCACAATAAAGCATGTGGGGTGGTTCGATGGCTCCCTGTTCCAATTGCGTTGAATAAATATTTGTTACATATATTCATCTGAGATTAGTATGGATATATCAGTACATACTAGTGAATTATATATATATATATATATATATATATATATTTGTGAATTTATTTTAAAATAAAAAATTGAAAAATAATTTCAAAATTTGTAATTGAGGTTAATTTTATTAAAATATTGAAGATAAACCGTTAACGTTAATTTTTTTTAAAAAAATTAATATTAATTTGATTGAAATATTGAAAATAATTAAAAAAAATACAAGATAAATAATACTATAAAATATGTCTAAATAAAAGACTAAATTAACCCCAAGCGTGTGGTCAGTAATAGGGGTTGATTCACGCTTAAACAAGGTCAGGGGTTCGAATCCTGCCTTGTGTATGCAGCTGCGTTAAATTTTGGGGCCAGCTATCCCACCTTTTGAGGTGTCTCCAACAGCGAGGAGATTAGTCACTGTTATTAGCGATGGATACTCCAGGGACGAATACAAAAAATAAATAAAAGACTAAATTCAAAAATTTAAAATAATAATGAATATAATAAACAGGAAGATTTAAAATTATTTATTATATATATATATATATATAACCGTATTTTAAAACACCTTCCAAAGATAAGTGTTCAAATTTAGAATTAGAATATTTTCTTTTTCAATTTTGTTATTAGAATTTGGGTTTGATTTCGCGATTTTAATTAATCAGAAGTTGTGTAATATTACGACACCTCAACATAAGTTGTGTAAACTTGTAAGTAATTAATTAAATTGAGGTTGTGATTTAAATAATTTAATTTTGCTATGTTATGCCAATTTTTTTTTTTTTTTTATAATCATAGTATAAAATATATCAATTTTATCAAATTGTCAAAGAACTTCATTGATAATCTTTATCTAATCACATTTTTTTACCTAAAAAAATGAATTCAAAATCTTATATAAAAAAGTCCAATCTAATATTATTTAAAATAATAACTTGTTGATTAACCAACTTTTATTTATTTAAAATTTTATGACATTGAAGTTGTGATTGTATTCGCAACTTTTGTTTTATTAATTTTATTGATATTTATATGAACATAAATAATAATGGGAATTAACTATCTTCCTTCATTTCAGATTTCTTATGGTTGTTTCGTTTGTTTGTTTGTTTTTTTTTTTTTTTTTTGAGAACTATGCACAAGAATATGAAGGCAAAGGCAAATGCAGTATCGCATGATCAAGAGGATAGAGATGACATGTGGTTAGTAGGGGTGTAAGTAGATATGGGTATCTGTGAATCTAAACTTACTCAAATTAACCCAATCAATTCAAACAAGATTTTTTTAATATTCAAATCAAATCCAACTCAAATCTAATCAAAACTCGATACTGTACGGATTAGGCAACAAATTTTGTGTTCTTAACTCGACCCAACCCAATCATATATATAATAATAATAATAATAATAATAATAATAATAATAATAATAATAATAATAATAATAATAGTATTTGAATGATCATTATTGTTTAAGATAATACTCACTGTTACTCTTACTGAATAATAAATTTTGTGTTTTTAGGTTAATAGTATTGTAACAATATAATATATTTATTTTATATTAATTAATATTGATTTTTTGAGTTGATAATAATGTAACAAATTAATAAATTTATTTTAGAATTTAATTTGTATTATTGTTTGCTTTATAAGTTGATAATATTAAATTTGCAACTATGTATCAAATGATTTATATCTATTTTAAAATATTTAAATTTTTATAATAAAATAAATATAATTATATTGACATGATTAATCCAATTCAACCCAATTCGTTTGTGATTGGGTTGAGTTGGATTGAATTTTTAAAATAAATTACATAAATCTAATCCTATCTAACCCGTTAAATTTTACTTAGATTAGATAACAAATTTATCTAAATTCAACTCAACTCAGCCCACTTACATCCTTAGAACTTGGATAATGGAAGTAGTAAGCAACAAGATATATGTTCGGTGACAAAAATTTATATTGCCAATAAAGTAGAATTCTAGAATCTCCGAACATAATTTCTAACAAAATTTTAACAGATAAACTTTTATTCTCGAGACTCATATATGTAGTGTTTGATACATGCAGAAAATATTAGTTTTCTACTTTATTTTTTTATTTTAAAATATTATTTTTAATAAAAAATATCATATTATTTTTATTTATTTATTTAATCAATAAAAGTTTAATTCTTAGAAATTACGAATCATGATTCACAAAAATTGTAATATTTTTTATTATAAGAGTAAAAAAAAAAAAAGGGCAAAAGGATATGTTCAACTGGAAATACAATATGAACCAAAAAGGGGTTGAAGTCCACATCAAAATAAGTGAATAAAACCGCTAGAGGAAGGGCTTGAACCTTCGACCTTGTGGTTAACAGCCACACGCTCTAACCAACTGAGCTACTCCAGCTTATACCTTCTGAAATTTACTTTTCTTTAGTTCGAAATAAGAAATATAAAAAAGGTGTTGATGAGTATCTTGTGTTTGAACATTTTCCCATTGTTCAATATTGAACCTCTTTTTTCGCCCTGTTTTGTAATAAAAGGAGCATTATGGCGATGAGTCCATGTTCTCAATCCTGTTCTCCTCTCTGGATTTTCCCCACAATACAGTGTAAAATCCTACCATGACTATAACCACACCAATCAAACTGCAAATAACTCATTACAAACATTTATCATGTCAATGTAATATTAAACCAAATTCATTAATTATTTTGACAGAAGCAATTTATCATCGTCAATGAACTTGTTATTTAGTGGGTTAATGTAGAAGAAATAAGGTTATTTTAAATTTAAAAACAATTTGATTAATGTAAATTTAGCGTACATTTAAATATATGCAAGTCTAATAAATTTTTATAATAATAATCACTGATATTGGTCCAGCGGAGTCGTGTCATAAATCCTAATTTTACTACAACCACTATTTGTACATAATTAAAAAAAAAACTTTTATAATGAAAATAACACAACTAATAGTTAAACTCACTAAAATGAAGTTAATAATAAAATGTTTGGATAATTTACAGGTTATATTTAAACTTAATTAGTCTTGTCATGAAAAAAGAAACACAAGTAATAGCATGTTTAGAGTGTATTGGTTACATAGAAGTGTGATGGCATAGATAGTTTCTTGAGGAAATAACAAGGACAACTGAATACAACACATTTTTGTCGGTGATGTGGTTAATGACTTGCCACTTGGTATTTGTAATGTCTCTATCTGTGATAAAATATCCACAGAGTTTTCATGCTATCATACAAAAGAACTTGTCTCCTTTCTTTCGTTCACCAAAAGAGGGGCTTCAGAAGAAGACGATGAGATGATGCTACAGCTTCCATGTTTTTCACATCCCATTTTTTCCTCCTCGGCCTGACCCCATATTACAGCATAAAACCCAATAGCTATTATACCAGCTCCTATCATACTGCAAAACCAATCAAAATCCAACACTATTAATTACCTTGAAAATATATTAGTCATAAATAACAAGTTTAGCATCGTTTATGTTCAACAAAACAACATCAACTTTATGTAGTAAGATCAACTTAAAAGAACAAAAACTGTTGAAAAATAATAATAAATTTCAAATTTTCAGCTTCATGAAAACAACTAATAAAAAAACTTGAAGATATCACACATCTCATTTAATGAGTATTTTTTATTTAGTAATAAGACTTATGTCAAAATTTATAATTTTAATTCTAAGAGTTTTAAGTAGAAAATATTAAAATAAAAATATTTTGAATATATGTACATACCTTCCAAGATATAGAACATCTCCCAAGAATACAACCCCCATGACAAGTGCAATGACAATCCCTAAAGGACTGAACATAGCAACATACACGGGTCCTTTCTTTCGACACGCCCATGCGTAAACCACACTTCGCGCAGATATCACAAAAATGGCCTACAAATGAAACATATTATACCTAAAATTCTAAAACAATACAAATTAATTGAACAAACTTTTTGCTTTGCATGAAATAGCTTGTTTTATATAATTCTTTTCTTACCGAATAGAATATAGATATCAACTCCATATCGGGTTTAAGTATCCATGCCTTTGGATTTTCCTCTGCAATGAAAGCTACTATGAAAGATTGGATGACAACAAAACCGCAACAAATGGTTGTTAGCATTAGCTCCTCAGGATACTCTTTCATAGTCCATGTCTGCAGAATATAAAAAAAAAAAAGTCTTATTTTTGTTTTGTGTGGACAAATTAATTAAGTGCCCCTACCGAAAGAAACATAGTTATTAGGATTTGGTTAATCTAATATTTCTCTAGTAAAAAATAAAATTAAATATGTTTTTAGTCTAAATTTTTTTTTATCAATTTTTATTTTTAGTTCCTAAAAAAAACTTATGTAATAAATAAGGTTTTTAAGTCCTAGGTCGTAGTCCCCGAAGCTTTGTAAACTTTAAAGTATATAAGGTTAGTTTGAATGTTTAGTACCCTCTCAATTTCATAATAAGTGTATTCATAAGTTGTTTTATATACATACTAAAAAAATTAATAAATAAATGAAATAAAATAATAATTTTATAAAATTAATTTTATAATTATTATTTTTTTGTTAGAAACAATAAAACAAAATACTATCCCGATTCTTTTCCATTGTCTTAGATAGTACTATTTTTTTTATCATAGTCATTTACGGTTGTTTTACACAAATCAAGAAACATAATAAATTTTTATATTTTTTATATAATTTTAATATTTCCTAATTTTTCTCTTTTATTTTTTTTTTATAATAAATACATATTAGTTGTCTTATATAAATTAATTAAAAATTAGACGAAAAGTAAAAATATAATCAATAACATGATAATTAATATTATCTTAAAATTTAAAAAAGATAAATAAATAGAAACAAAATCTTTATAAAATTCTGACATATAAGAAGAAAAGGAGAGAGTAAGCACTTTCTAAAAAAAATTAATACTACATTAAAAAAAAACCTAATAAAATATTTATTTTAAAATTTATTTTTTCTTGAAACACAACAGTTATTATGTACAAAAGAAGTATATATTTACCTGAATAACAAGCGAGGCTGAACCCAAAAAGCTAGCAGCTGAAAGAAAAAAGGCTCCTAATAGCCATAGTGATTGTTGTGAGAGGAACAGATATTTTGGCATGACAACACTTGTGATAGGCAACCCTTTATATAAGGATACAGTTAATGCTCCTGCAATTGATACCACAGTTCCAATGGATTTTGCCTGGCTGCTTCGTACTTTTAGATCCAGCTTTTCCATCCTTAAAAACCATATAATATTAGAGGCTTCACACTCCATTTTTAACTATAATACATGCAAAAACAAGAGATTGGTCTAACATTTTTGGGGGTACGTAATTGCTCTTTAACTATCTTTCTTCCCTGTTTTGGTCATAGAAGAGTCTACTACTTTACTTTCCTAGGGATTTTGTCATCTTTTTTCTTTTTGGTGGTTCATTAATTAGGTTGCCTCATTCCACGATAAAGAAATTGAAAATTTGACATATTTATTTTGCATGAAGCATATTAGGTGTGGAAAGATCTTTTGGTGAACCAATTCAAGTGGTTAACGCATTGCTGTAATTATGGCAAAGTTTGGATTCCACCTTCCATTTTCATTACGTGATTTTGACGTTACTCTTTCGGTCTTATTGGTTAAGAAGGGGTTTTAATTCTTGTATTAGTTTTCCTAGAGGCTTAGCCTACAATAAATTTTTATTCACCTAAAAAAATAGATTTAATTTTTATATAATTAAAATTCATACTAAATAAATATTTCATATAAATTATCTCATAATTGAATTCATAATAAAAATATATATTTAAGTATATAAATTACATTTTAAATTTATAGTAAAAAGTTTAAAGTATATATATAATGAAAGATTATTCGTAATTATTGACAATTTTTTAAAAAGAATTATTAACATTCAATTCAGTGATAAATAAAAAGAAGATAGTTTGAAATTGTTGAATTTTTTTTTATTAATAGAATAAATAACATGTAAAATGTATCTAACAAAAAGATATAATACTAATAATGTTGAATTTAATTAGAGAATATAGAGTGGTGGGGGCTTGAGAATGTCTGGCATAGTATGATAATGAGATTCTAAACTTGTTTGGTTGAGATGAAATAATTAAGAAATAGGGAAGGAGTGAAAATAAAATAGTAAAATAACGAAAATTTGACTCTATTTCTTATTTATTTTTAATATTTATTTATTTTCTCTATTTTTTCCACTTTATAACTCCAATGTATAAAAAAAAAAATATAAGACCAAAAGTTTAAATATTTTGTATTCTATTTTGTCATAAAAAAAATTTAATAGATTCTTTAAAACTTAAACAATTTACTTTTTAACCCCAAGCGTGTGGTTCAGCGGTAGGGGTTGATCCACGCTTAAGCAAGGTCAGGGGTTCGAATCCTGCCTTATGTATGCAGTCGCGTTAAATTTTGGGGCCAGCTATCCCACCCTTTGAGGTGCCTCCAACGTAGTGAGGAGATTAGTCACTGCTGTCGGCCCTGGATACTCCATGGACGAACCAAAAGAAAAAACAATTTACTTTTTTTTTAATAAAAAACAATAACTTTAAAAAATTAAGTCAGTGAATTTTAAAAAATAAAAATAAAAATATCCTTCTCTTTCCTCATCTCCCTTCTCTCTCTTCCAGTTGTATTGTCTCTCTCTTTCCCGGCCACTTTGAATCTGATGGCTGTTAAAGTGAAAGCATGAATCTAACAACTAAGTTCTATTTTATTTTTAAAGTTATTACTTTTACTTTAAATTTTAGAGCAACGTTTGAATATAAAAATTAGGCTAAACATAAACCTAGTCTAATCTAATTATACATAATAATAAAAAATTAAATAAAGTGCAAAAAAAAAAATTAAAACTATATTATATTTACCTTTCTCTGATTTTTCCCCTGCAGAAATGGATGAAAGGCGTCTAAAAAGTGAAAAATGGTTTAATCACCTGGAAATAATGGCAATTATGAAGGTATAAGCTGGAGTAAGATCCCCCATGGCTGAGGTGAGAGTGGGAGTGGTATAGCCAAGTCCAGTATAAGTTAGTGTCTGTATGGAAACACTAACACAAGAAGAAGACCATGTAATTTATATATACATGATGATGCCAACATATATTTAACGATTATAGTTTATATATGTACCTGAGCAAGCTAAGAATGAAAATTCTCAAGATAATGGAGTAATTGATTGGTGTAGGAGTTTTGTTTCTGTGAAATCAAAGGGGCAATGAATTAATTAACCTCATATGCATGTTAATTATGTTAGTTTCAAAACACTTGTGAGACAAACCTGTGATGGATTTTGGATGCTAGTAGCAGAAAACAGAATGCGAGAAGGTTTGAATACGCAACGAAAATGAAGTGGCTCATTCCTCTGGACATGGATGCTTTGATGAGAGTGTTCAAACCCACACTCAAGAACTGTGCCACTATCATCACTGTGGTTACCCCTGCGCCCTTCATTTCCTTCAGTTATCTATTTGTGTTGTCAGAGTCTTGCTTTTTCACTTGTGTACTCCGAAGAAACAAAAATAGTGTTTCTCTTAGTGCAGGTGTGACGAAAATAGATTATGAACGTGTCCACCCATTTGCTTTCACTAAAGGATAAATAGTGGTATAGCACATGCACATTCGGGATATTTTCTGTTATAATTTTATGTTCAAATTGAGAATCTAATTTTAATTTTTAATTCAGAAATGAAAGTGTACGTTGAAACATTTAAACTAAAGACTTTTAATTTTAAGGTTTTAGTATGCACATTAATTTATGACAATATAATATAATGTTGTATTTTATGAAATAATGTTTTTTTTGGTAAATTGAAAATTGTAAGATGATACATCTGATGTCTAAATTAAAGTTCCTTTAGAATAAGATCCAACATCACATTCAATATATATCTTCCTAATTATAAACCAACATAATCAAAATACATTTTAAGGTAAATACTTCATTTAAATTAAGTGCCCTGAATAGTTAATTAATACAACTCATTAGTGGTTAAACTTTAATTAAACATCATGTCTTTGATATAGATATTATATATTTCAAAAGTTTACAAACCAATAAATAATATAACTTGAAATTGTAGATGAAATATAAAAAAATATATTATTCTTTACAGATGGATATTTTTGTCTTTAACATTTTCAAACACACTTTTTATCTACTTTCTTAGTCTATCAAGTCTATCCTTTGAAAAGTGGACAAAAAATTTGATATGTTCTCATATTTAAGTACATATATACAAAAAAAAAAAATACGAGTTGTTATTACTTTATACAAACCAATATTAATACTTTTAAATAATTTATTAATTTTGATAAATTAAGTATTTATTTCTTATATATTCAACTTAACTAGCTAGTAATTTACTTTATCCTCTAAGAATAATCTATATGTTTTAACCATGGTTTTGAAAATAAAACCAAATCAACCAATCGAATCGGTATGGGAATTAATTTTTGATTGGTTTAGTTGGTCTTTAATGTAACACTGTTAATTTTCAGACTCCTTTATTCATCTTGTGAATTTGGTTGTTTTGATATCAATCGTTATTGAGAATTCCAGGTCAAGGGATCTTAAGAGTAAATTTGGTCTCTGGATAGTTAGACCAAAGATAAGTGAAATCAGTTTAAGAAGGTATAAAAGTATTTCTTAAGTTCAAGCCTCATAACTAAAGTTTTCAAAATTTTAGAGACATAGACTAGGTAGAAGTTTTGAAAACAGAGTCCTTACATATAATTGTGTAAATGATATTAATCACGAGTTGCATGATAAATTCTAAAGCAGATGTATGTTGTTAATCTTTTCATTACATAGTAGCTGAACTATAATAAGTGTAGTGACTAGTTGAATTGTTACACTCAAACACCTTTGGTAATGGTCAAAAGAGTAGTAGGACCGGTCAAAATCGATAAAAAAAACAATCAAATCAATTTGAACTAGTTCAATTAATTTTTTTTCCAAAAATTTAATTTAAAATATTTTTAATAAAAATACATATTTAAAAATTTATAAATTTGAATAACTTATTTTTAATATTTTTATTTTTTTACAATTTATACTATATTAATTTGAAACCCTTTATTTTAAATGTAAATTTGTTATTATTAATGATTATTGTTATATTTTATTAAAATTATATTATATTTTGTTTAGAACTCAAATATTATCACATTAAATGTTAAAAATTTATAAATAATATTTTATTTTAATTTCTAGTATTTATATTTATTTAATATTATTTTTATTATTAATAATAAGTATTATTATTATTATCTTATTAATATCAATTTGATTTCAACCACAATTAAATCATTAAATTTTAAATCATTATCAAGATCGGTCTATTTCATACTTATTCATTGGATGAGGAACTCGTAGAAATGAATAGTGACTATGACCTAATATACCGACGAAGGAAGTTTTCACGGTTCAACATTAATAACGTTGGTTGAAGTTTGAGCGTCCATCTTTAAATTTTATGCGTGTGTTAGTTGTGCTCTGCATTAATTCCCTTCTCTTTTTTTCCTTTTCAACAGTTTTGTTTGATTTTTTTTTTATCTGTTATTAAAAAAACACACATTCTAATAAAATTAAGTAATTAAAATTAATTTATACACGTATCTCAACCAAATTTAATAATTTCAAATTATTTTTCCTGAAAAGTCTTGGTAGTTTATTAAAGTATGAAAATGTTGCCCTGGAGGAAGCTAACAAGTAACAACCTTGCTATAGTTGCGTGGAAAATCATACAAATTTAAAGGGAAAGGAAATATATTATGGGAGGCTAATAAGTGATTAAGATGCCGTCAAAAGAACGTGATTAAGATGAGTGACAAATGACAGTTTGAAGTTGTGTAGAGAAAAGGCACACAAATATCTAATGTTAACCTGTGTGATAGTGAAACTAAACTAACTACACCCTAACTTGGTCAATTAATTATTGAACCCAAATGGGTCCTTTCTGTATTATAATGTAAGCAATTTTCTGTGTAGGTAGTAGGTCCTTCTTGTAGCAATGAAACCCTACCTAGTACTGTTTTGAGAGGAATGGGGTCTTAGGTCCGTTGTCACGTGAATATTCATTCAGCCAGTTCTAGAATTGGGATGAAGTTAATTTACTTTCTATCCTAGAATTTTAATCGCCCATTTGTTTTAATTGGATTACTAGGATTTCATATTATATATAATAATATTAGATTATTTAGGCTGTCAAAAAAAAATGTTTAACACATCATTTCATTCGTCAATTTTAAATTAAAAAAATTATAATTAATTAAGTCATTCATTTTTATTTTTTTTTGTATTTTTTATAATTTAGTCTTTGAAGTTAGAAATTTATTTAAAATTTTTAAAATTTCATAAAATATTCTTTAATTATATTCTCATCCGGACATCTACATTTATTTATTATTTCATATCATCATTGCATTAGGTTTAAATCCATATAACAATTAAAATTTCTTTATAATCTCCCTAATAATAAGAATTTTAGAATAGTAAGAAATTTTTATGAGTAGGGATCAAAACATGATATGTGGAGGATGACATGAAATACAAACTTGATGTGATTATCTATATGATGATATAAATAAATTTTGTGAATTTTAGGGATTGTAAATAAATTTCTAATCTTAGGGACTAAATTACAAAAATGATGAAGACTTGATAATAAATTTTAGTTTAAGGATTTAGTTGAAAATTTCTAAAAAAAATTAAGAACCAAATAATATATTAAAATAAAAAATATTAATGAAATTATCTGTCATATCTTGAATATCCCTAAAAATTTGCATAACGCACCAATTGATTATATACAAATATATAAAATATCTTATATATAGACGGATTATCTATCATATCATTATATCCCTAATTATTTGACAACATTGATACAAGATATGATATATCTATATATAATCAATTAATGTATTAGACAGATCCCTAATTATTTGACAACATTGATACAAGATATGATATATCTATATATAATCAATTAATGTATTAGACAGATTTTTAAGAGTATACATGATATGTAAGAAAATCCCAATTATTTATTTTAGTTTATCGTGTATAGTTAGTTATTAGGGACAAAATAGGTATAATAAATGTGGACACTAACTAGTATATTATTCTTTTATTATGAACTAGTGTAAGAAAAATAATTTGTGCCTCTGTGTTTTTTTTCATTTGCAATATAAATAGAAGTGAGTGATTAATAATTAGAGAGACTAAACTCTTTAAATAATTGTAATTGTGAGGGTTATTTATGAAAAAAGTGGAGAGAGAAAGAATAATTTGAGATGTAATTATATATAAGAACAAAATTATCCAAACAAAAGTGTACACAATTAGGGTAACCCCTTTTATTAAAAGTATAAATATAGATTTTTAATATTATATATGTGTTTTTACAACATTAATATTATATAAGTTAAAGCATAAAACTAAAATTAAAATATAATTTGTAGTATAAATTTTAAAATAAATAGTTATTATGATACATAAATACTATTGGTTAAATCTAAAAAGAATATTATTAAAATATAATTCTTAAAAATTATAAGTTTTAAAATATAAAATACCAAATGAAATTAAAACAACTTAAAATATAATTTAAATTTGTTTAAAAATTAGATCTGTAAATGGGTGCGAGTTGACCTGGAAATTAATTTTGTACTATTTTTCTTGGTTATTAATTTTCAATGGTGCACACAATGACATTCCAGACGATTGAGTTTGATGATGGATCCCACAACGGCATTCCAGATGAATCGAGTTCTTGAGTCAAAAGTATTTGCTATGATTTTGATGACAATCTAAATGAGTCATTAGTTACGTCACAAGGAATGCAGAACTAGTAGGATTTGGAGGTAAACTTGTGATTAACAATGCAGTTGGACAATCCAAGATGTTTTTAAAGGAGATTATAATATATGAAAATATTATGCTAAAATCTTGTATACCTACTCAATCTGACGATCAAAAATAATAAATTAAAAAAATTAAAGTTGACCATAATAAACCACTTGTTATGTTTGTGCATGCTAGTTATTGTCGATTTTGACGAAATCTAGGGTGTAGATGTGTGATAGGTGGTTCAAATGGTCAACAAATATCTACCATTAGATCATGTTGTTATATCATATCAAATAGTGCACTATCTATAGCATTTTTATTTATTTATAACCTTTTTCCTCTCCTTCTTCCCCTGTTTATATCCCATGACCACCATGTCACTTCTCTGTCATTGTTTTGATCCATTTTCATCTTTGAGATGAATCACTTGTCGGTTGGGCATGCATATTGTGAAATTAAAGAAAAACTATTATGAACAACATTATTTATTTTTGTGAGCTTATTTTGAGCACCAAGTTAAAGTAAATGAAGAATCATGAGCGTGCGGTGAATTAATGATGCAGTGATAAAACTTTTGCACAAGGGTGTGCATGTCAACGGTGCACATAATGACATTCTAGACGAATCAGGTTGATGATGGATCCCATAGTGGCACTCCGGATGAATCATGTTCTTGAGTCAGAACTATTCATTGGTTTCTAACGACAAATCTAAATGAGACATCGACAATGACATAAG